TTGTCTTATCTTCCCAGGTCCACCGAGCGTACACCAGCTCAGTGCTCTAGTTTGTTGCTCAGCTGAATGGCCTCGCTTTTGACTTCTTCGTACACGTCTTTGCGCACGCCTTGCGACAGGTGGTGCACGCGACGTCGATGTCAACATTGCGGCCCTTGCACACTTGCCTGTGGCGTCGCACGTGCACACTTGCACGTTCGACGCCACAGGCAAGTGTGCACGTGCACACTTGCCTGTGGCGTAGCACGTGCACACTTGCCTGTGGCGTAGCACACTTTGCACGTTGCCCGACAATTCGAAGGCGGACTGCCTCACACCTCGATGGGCCAAATTCGTCTCCGGAGTGGGCCCTGGATTATTCATTATACATGCTTCCGAGCTCCGTCTCGGAAGCGCTGCCGAGCTGCGTTTCGGAAGCGCTGGGAGGAGACGCCCCCTTCCTGCAGCGCGCTCTCTCTCTCTTTCTCGCTTTCTCTCTCGATGCTAGCTTCAGGCTCCATAGTGGCATCCGGCATCCTGAGTAGGTGCGTGCAGTAGGTTCCTCCGCGAAGGGGCGGGGTAGCCTATGCCTCTGTTCCTCCTCTTCCTCCTCTCCTTGTTGACATATGGATTCGAATGTGTCTCGATGTCTTAGGATTTGCGTGTCGGCGGCTACCGCCTCGCGATTTCTCAACGATTCGTTGGTGAGTTTGTTATGTCTGTTTGTCCGTCTTCTCCTCCTCTGCCTCCTCCTCGTGTCCCTCACCTGTGTTCGCGTTTTGTTTGCGAGTGCCGACCGTTTGGGGCGGCTTACGCACGCGCGAGTGTTTTGTGAGTTACGCTGTAGTTCGTCCGCCCTTTCCTTTTTCCTCCTCGTCTTTTTCCCGCTTGCGCCTTACTCCGCCAGTCTCACCCCGATGCCTTTTAACATAGCCTTCGGCGTGTGGCGGCATTCACGTTCTGGCGCCGGCTGCGGACGCATGTTGTCTTCAAACACAACGAAAACTAGACTACCACCTCCCCCCCCGGAGTTATCGGGGGCACCGTCGGCATTGCAAGTTCAATGTGGTTATGCCTTGTTTTTTTTTCATGTACGGTGGGGGAACATACCATCCCAGCCAAACTGGTTACTATCCCCCCCATCCGTGTCTAATAAGACTATGCGCGCACACTCGCGCATCGCAAAAAGTTATGTCCCGAGGGTCCAGTGCAACAGAAGACAGTATACAGTCCCTAACGAACTCATGGTGCACAAAACAGACAGGACACATGGCACCGCATGACCCCCAGACCCCCGAACCTGTGCATATCAGATAGAGCGCGTGTCCTCACCCGAAGACAGTCCAGAGGGACAGCACAGAGATGAAACTTCAGATGGCACGCGCTCAAGAGGAGGCAAGGCGGGAGGAAGGCATGGCGCCGCCGCTCGAGACATCCTCGCAACCGCGGCGCCGCCGCTCGAGACATCCTCACAATCGCGGCGCCGCCGCTCGAGACATCCTCGCAGCCGCGGCGCCGCCGCTCGATGCATCCTCGCAACCGCGGCGCCGCCGCTCGAAACATCTTCGCAATCGCGGAGCCGCCGCTCGGGACATCCTTCCAACCGCGGCGCCGCCGCTCGGGGCATCCTCGCAACCGCGGCGCCGCCGCTCGGGACATCCTCACAACCGGCGTGGATGAAGGCGATGAGGAGGAGGAGGAGGAGGAGGAGGAGGAGGAGGAGGAGGAGGAGGAGGAGGAGGAGGAGGGGGAGAGAGAGGAGAAAGAGGAGGAGGAAGAGGAGGAGGAGGAGGTGGAGGAGGAGGAGGAGGGAAGCGGGCCAGACAGATAGCACACGCCTGGGCCCTCCTGGGCCCCCTTGGGCCCAGGAGAGGCGCCCGCAACCGCTGCGCCGCCGTTCGACGCATCCTCGCAACGGCAGCGCCGCCGCTCGAGACATCCCCACGACCACGGCGCCGCGGCCTCCCCAGGGGCGCGCACCAGGCAGATAGCACACTGCCCTGGGGGGGGGGAGGCGGGGGGGCGGGATGGCGCCGCCGCTCGGGGCATCCTCGCAACCGCGGCGCCGCCGCTCGGGGCATCCACGCAACCGCGGCGCCGCCGCTCGAGACATCCTCACGACCGCGGCGCCGCCGCTCGAGACATCCTCGCAACTGCGGCGCCGCCGCTCGAGACATCCTCACAACCGCGGCGCCGCCGCTCGAAGTATATATCCTCGTCCTCCTCATGCTGCTCTCGTGCTCCTCGTGAACATCACCCTCCTCCTCCACCTCCTCCTCCTAAGAAACCCTCCCCTACCCACGGGCGCACCAGGCAGATAGCACACTGCCCCGGGGGTGGCCGGGGGGGGGCAGCGAGGCCAGGGGGCGTGGCCAGATGAGGTAGGGGAGAGCGGGGTGGGCAGGCTCCCCTTTCCCACGGGCGCACCAGGCAGATGGCACACGCCCCGAGGGGGGCACACATTCTAAGACAAGTTGGAAGCGGGCCAGACAGATAGCACGGCGAACATGGCGTTTCGCCCAAACACGCGGGCCAGGCAGATAGCACAATCTGCACGGCTCTTTCGCAAACGCCATGAGTTCGTTAGGTACTGTAATGTACACGCACGCGCGCATGCCGAAATCATGCCAAACGCATCAGTTCTGTATCTATTTCGACATACAGACAGGAGAAGCAAACCTGCAAGGCTTGCTGTTGTTCTGCCTGCGCGCTCTTGTTGAAATTATGGAAAACCTACGAGTTTAGCACTGTCGCCCAGCACCCGCATTTTCATCGTCATGCTCAGCATCCGCGTTAATCCAGCATGCGCCCAGCGCGCGAGTTCTTCTCAAATGCTACCGTGCGGGCCACGCGCGCGCGCCGCCACGCGAGCGTATCGAAATCCGTCCAACACCATTGGTGTTCGACGCATGTCTGAGTAGAGCTCAACAAACGCATAACAATGAACTGCTGCTCAACAGAAATATTGCCAGGGATCTTGGATGTCCCCGCGGGCGCACTTCCTCCCTATCACCCTCACCGGCGCCACCGCATCACGTCATCGTTGTCGCCATTGACAATCGCAGCAATTCTTTCCATCACGAATCATGAATCAAGCCCCATTCACGGTGGACAGATGGACATCATCACTGCCGGCACAATCAACATTGGGGCCGTCATTGGCCTTGCCGTCGTCATCGCCACCATCGCCACCACCATCGGATAGCACCACCGTTATTATCATTATCGTTGTTGCTGTTGCCAACGTCTACATGACACGGCGTCCCCCAGAACCACCAACCCGTATTGAAGTGCCCGCGCGCCATTGCGGTCTTAGACACGCGAAGGGGCGTTGCTATCGGTCAGCGCCATCGCGGCCGCATCGGTTGCGCCAATACATACAGCCACTTTGCGCGTGAGTTTATGCGCGCCAGCGCGGCCGCCGAGATGCGCCAGCCATGGTCAAGCAGTCATCGCAATCGGTGCTGCATTTGGTTTGCAAACAAAGCTGCAAAGTGGGGTTGGCAACTCATGGGCGGGCAGAAGTTAGTTGCCCCACGCAGCTTGCACCAGATTCCTTCCACATCCACAGTGCAACCACTTACTGTGTGGTGCTCACGTTGGCGAACGTTGTGTTTGCTACACACGTGTACTGCGCAGGGCAGATGTAATAACATACGCATATGCGCGTGGCAAGTCTGCGATAAGATACCGTATGATTGCGCTCGTTCCCGGAAAAAGTGTTCGGAGGAAATGCATTCTCCATTTGGACAGGACAAGCGTGTGTGGTGATCCTAGGAATTGCCCGCGTTTGCGTTACAACGTCCAGCTTGAACCGCCCGCCCATCGGTGTTCGGCAGAGGCGCCGCGCCAAAATACACTGGAAACTCAAGTGTGTGGGTTGCCTTCTCATGTTATTTGCTGGAGGCGTTGTGCTTGTCACACCTGGGAGCGAGCACAAACCATTGGCAGGGATGTATTGGCGTTGGCACGACCAGAAGTTGCCCAGCAGCGAGAACGCAGCAATTGGACGCCCACGTACTCGCGTCAAGGCGAGCGCTCGTTTCCTCCTTGAGTGATGGCAGACAGAAAGCCGAAAGCTGAAGGAAAGTTTTCGCTGGGCATGATTCAATTTGCCAGGGGGGTGATTGACCATTTCCGGCAAACGACGTATTGAGGGCCGCACTTTATCATTCGGCAGCAGCATCGGTCAACAGTATCTCACGAACATAAATCTAGCAGTATACAAGAAAGTGTGATAGATTGTAGTGGCTTTCGGCCAATCCCACCACCGGGCCCCAGCTGTGCGACAGAGTCACCTTGGATGCCTATTGGAGTGTCTTGGGATGCCTCGTGGGTGTTCCTTGGAGGCCTCTGGGGGCCTCTTGGGGGCCTCTTGGAGGCCTCCTTGGGCCTCTTTGGCGCCTGGCCTCTTGGGGCCTTTCGGTTGTGAAGGGGGCCATCCTGGTATCAGAAGGCTCTTGAGGCCATTTCGTGTTTCCCCCCCCTCCAGGGCCGAACACATTGATCACCATACTGGTTTCTCTAATTATGTGTACATCTAGGGAAGCTCAAGCGACGATTCTTGAACGTGCCTGGAAGCAGTTGGACCTGCGTGGTTTGGACCCTTCTAACGATGTTCCAAATATTTAGCACAGGGAACTCGAGGGGAGCTGATGACACCCTATGCAGTGCCTACGGCACGGTGTCTACGTTATCAAAGGGGGGACGCGCGATTTTACACCATTCCCAGGTGCGTGGCTGGCGTGGGCGTCCGCGCTGCCGATGTCTGTTGATAATATCGTGTTGCTGTCGTCCTCCTCACCCGCGGCCCGCCCACGGCCCACCCGCGACCCGCCCACGACCCACTTGCGACCCACCCATTTTGCTCGGGGAAAACATGCGCGCCCGCGGCGGGCTCGTCGTGTGATGCGGGCAGCGTCGACGGAGGCCATGGAGGCCGGACGGAGGCCTTGGCCCCCGCCCCAGCCTGTTCACCTCTCCCCCTCCGCCACCCCTCCATCCTCCCCCCCGTTCTCGCCAGCGCCGCCGCCGCAGGCGCCGGCGTGTCGTGCCGGCCGCGTGCCCGCCCCGTGCGGGGGCGGGCGGCGATGCTGTGCGCGGCCGCGACCGCCGCTGCACCGGCCCTGGGCGCGGCGGAGGCAGAGGAGGACGAGGATGCCCTGCCGCCTGAGTACGCGGGCCTGCTGGGCGAGCTCCTCGGCGACGAGGCCTCTGAGGAGGAAGCGGTGCGGATACTGCTTCCCCTGCCTCCTCGCCACCACGGGTGGATTGGCCCCGCAATTCTGCCAGAGCGCACCATGGGAGACGTCCGTGGAGCAGCGGCATCGGTATTTCTTGGCATCCCTACAGGCCTTCCTGCGCCGGCTCGCCGGGCACCTCGGCACCGGGCAGCGGCATGACGACGGTGCCGGTTGGCTGGGGGGCGAGCTGGGGAGCGAGCTGGCCGAGTACGTTCGCTGCGCTCTACCGGCGGGGCCCTGTCCGCCGCCGCTGCTGGGCCTGTTTGCGACCTGCTTCCGTGGCGCGCTGGAGGTGGACGCCTACCCGCCTTCGGACGACACCATTCGGGTGATGCCAACTATGTTCCTCGCCAAAGGTGCCCCCAGAAATGTTTTGTAGTCCCCTGGGCCATAACGCGCGTTCTGCCCCTGGCCCTCCTCCCACGAAGAACGTGACGCTCCCCACTAGAGCGTCGCCGTCCCTGGCACTACCGCAGTGCGTGCGGCACCACAGTTTGCGGTGCCGGGCCCACACGGCCGGGGGGGCGCGGGGGCGTTAGGTTATGCCCCCCCGTCCCCTCCCTGACCCCCCAAAACGCCCTCTATCGCCGCGAGCAAAGAAATACCCTGCGGGAGTTCTGGAACCTTTGGGGCACGTTTCCAGGAGGCCCAGAGGGCGCCAGGAACCAGGGGCTCCAAAACGGCGCGGGGGACGCCGTGAACCAGGACCACTTCTGGCAACACCCGAGCCATACCTAGGGGAACAAGCAATAACGTAAGCATAAGTTCGCGGGCGAAAAATCAATCAGTGGCGAATCGTCCTGGCGTGCTTATAGGCCTACCGAAAAAAAACCTTTTGCGGTCTGCACCAAATGTTCTCGGAACATTTCTGGCCGGGCCTGTCTTCTTGGAACACATAGGGCTCATGTTTTAAGAACAATGTTTTTTGTTCTAAGAACATTTCTGGGTTCTAAGAACATGTCGTGGTAGGCCTGTAGGTATGCCGGGACGGTCGGTCCCTCCTCAAAATAACGGTATACAATAATTTGTTCCGCCGTCGGGGACGCTTGCCCCCTGGGCGGCTGCAAAGTTTACACTGTATACCCCTACGGGGCCACGTAGGGGTGTAAATTTCCAGCCAGGGGTCGAATCTTTGCGGCCATCCGGGGGGCAGGCGTCCCCGACGGCGGAACAGTTTATTGTATACCGTTCGCTCCTTACATTGGAACTTGGAGGTTCGGGCGGATTTCTCGGCGCTGGGGCCCCCGTGGTGGCGCTTTCGGCGCCGCAACGGGCGCGCTCCGCGCGCCAAGGAAGGAGCCCCAGCGCCGATCCGAGAAATCCGCGAGGGTCTCCGAGTTCTTATTTGTTTGTTCCCCTGAACCGTCCTCATGGCCGAAGTGCTCACCCAGCTCGGCCACGCGCAGAGGGGGGTGGGGGGAGGGGAGAAGGCTTCTTGGAAGCACCCCAGCTTCTTAGAAGGCGCGGGCCTTCTCGATAGATGTAAGGCTGGCGCCTTCTAAGAAGCAGCCTCCTTCTAAGAAGCCCTCCCCCCTCCCCCTACCCCCTTGTGCGCACAGCCAACCAGCACTGCTCGGAGGCGCCCGAGGTGCCGGCCGTGGTCGTGGAGGTCGGCTGCGGCTCCGGCCTCCTCTCGGCCGCCGTGGTGCGCGCGCTGGCGGCGCGGCTGGGCGCGGCGGGCGGCGCTGGCGGTGCGGTGCCCGGCGTGTCCATGCTGGCGACGGACCTCAGTAATTTTTAATTTTTCCCTACCTAGGCTCTGCCTAGAAGGGTTCTTACTCTCTTAGCTTAAAGGGGCCGGGCAGTGCACCACGCCCCGGGCGGTTCCCCCAGTCCCCTGGGAGCGGTTCCCCCCAGTCCCCTGGGAGCTTTAGCTTTAGCTTTAGCTTAGCTTTAGCTTAGCTGTAGCTTAGCTTTAGCTTAGCGTTTCGCTTAGCTTTTCACTTAGCGTTTAGCTTAGCGTTAGCTTAGCTTTAGTTTAGCTGTTGCTCAGCTTTAGCTTAGCTTTAGCTTAGCTTTAGCTTAGCGTTAGCTTAGCTTTAGTTTAGCTGTTGCTCAGCTTTAGCTTAGTTTCAGCTTAGCTTTAGCTTAGCTTTAGCTTAGTTTTAGCTTAGCTTTAGCTTAGCTTTAGCTTAGCTGTGGCTTAGCCGTAGCTTAGCTTTCGCTTAGCTTTAGCTTAGCGTTACTGTTACTACTAATGCTGCTTTCCTAGGGGTTCCAACTCCTAGGTAGGGTCGCACTGGGATAATTAGCCGATCCCCATCCCCAGACCTCCTCGCATGTGCAAAAAAAATACGGCGGGATTTTTTTTCGCTATTTTCGGTCTCCGGGGTCCCTTCCCGGGCCTCGGGGCCGTCAAAGAACGACTCAGGATAAAAATTGGTCTTGGGGAAAGGGTCCAGACCTTTGGGCATCGACGTTGTGCAAAAAATCACGACGTCGGGGGTCTGGGTCCCGATCCCCGTAATCCCACCACCCCGGTTGGGAGCATGCCCCTCGAAAGGAACAGCCTGCATACCCGTCTAATTAGGTGGATACAGCGGCCAGTGGTGCCCAGGCCACGCCGGTGGGGATCGGGATTGGTTCAACGATGTTCAGGACCTGTACGAAGCCGCCGCCGACCTCAGCGCTCAGGTCGTGGGCCGGGAGATCGCCGAGGCCGGGTCCGCGGAGTGGTGCTCCTTCCGCGCCGTGCGGGGCCGCTTCTGCGAGGGGTGCGCGGCCGAGGGGGTGGTCCGGGAGGACGCGGTGGACCTGCTGTTCTTCAATCCGCCCTATGTGCCCTCGCCCGAGGAGCAGGGTCATTTGTAGGGAGGAGGAGGAGGACATGGAGGAGGAGGAGGAGGAGGAGGAGGAGGAGGAGGAGGAGGACGAGGAGGAGGAGGAGGATTTTTAGGGAGGAGGAGGAGGAGGAGGAGGAGGAGGAGGAGGAGGAGGAGGAGGAGGAGGAGGAGGCCGCTGGGAGGCATCTCGAGGCCGGAGCGCCGCCGAGAATTGGCCCCAAAAGAGAGGGCGACGGGGCACAGCTTCCCAGCACTGCAGCCGCAGAGCGCGACGAGCGGGGATCCAACGAGGGCCCGAAAAGCGGAACGAAGCGAGGGCAACAGCGGAGTGGCAACGACCGAGGAGCCCCTTTTCTCGTTCCCCCTCGGAGGAGGAGCTTGGGGAGCAGCCGTCGGGGACCCTGCTCCCCGGCGCGCTGGCGGCCTGCTCGGGCGGCACACGGGGGAGGTCCGTGATGGACGAGTTCCTGCGTCGCTGCGCCCGCCCCTTGCTGCGGCCAGGCCCACCCGCGCGGGGCGGGGGGTATCGCGGCACCGAACGTGTCGCGTTTCTCGGGCCACGCGCAGAGGGGGATGAGGGGGAGCGGGGAAGGCTTCTTGGAAGGAGGATGAGGTCTCACGTCGAACAGCATATCCTCCAACACTCCCATGTTGTGAGGATGTCTCAAGCGAGGCGCCCCCACACACCATGATGGATATACGACGTCTGATCTCCAACGTCTCATTTTATAGGGGATGTCTGAGGCGGAGGCATCGTGTTTGAAAATCACCATCGTCAAACAACTCCTCCAACATTCCCGCTTTGTGAGGATCAAGCGGAACGCTCCTCCCACACCGCACACGTGGCGGGCCTTGTCTCTAGATTCCGGCCCGGCGCCTTCTAAGGAGCAGTTTTCTTCTAAGAGGCGTTCCCCCCTCCCCCGACTCCCTTGTGCATGCCGCCAAGTTTCTGGAGTCGGACGAAGAGCTTCAGTATCACTGAACCGACGCCTTCTGCCCATCCCATCCAGACCCCCACCATAGGGCAACAATAATTATCGATACATGTGAAAGAGCGCGCTCGTGGCACACTTCTCACAAGAAGGAGGGCCCCAGCTTCAAGCTACCCCCTCTCCCTTGGAAAAGGGTGGGGCGGGGCTTCCGAAGCTACCCCCCTCCTTCCTTTGTTTGATGTTGTACCTGGGAGATCCCTGGCTAAATGCGGGGAGGGGGCTTAGAAGCTATCCTTCTCCTCCTTTTCGGGGCCCAGGGTAAGCCCGGACTCCCGTTTCCAAAGGGGGGGGTCCGAAGTTACCCCCACCCTTCCCCTCCTTCTGTTGGCTTTTCCAGCTGGAGGGCCCTGGTTGAAGGGGGGTCGAAGCTACTGGTCCTCTTTGGTTATTGGCGCCCCGTTTGTTTTCGGCGTACATGGGATTTCGGCGTCTCTTTAGTTTCGGCGCCTCGCTGTTTTTCGGCGCCCCTTGGGCCTTTGGCGCCCCTTTCATTTTCGCCGCTCTTTTTGTTTTCGGCACCGTTTTTATGTTCGGTTATCCTGTGGTTTTCTTCGCTCCTTTGGCTTTCTACGCCCCTAGTTATTTGTTATCGGCGCCCCCTTTTTGGTTTTCGGCGCGTCGCATCGTTAGTCTTCGGCGCCCTCTTGGGTTCTGGTGCTCCTTTGGTTTTCGGCGCCCGCTTGGTTTTCGGCGCCCTTTTGATTTTCTGCTGCTCTTTGGTTTTCGGCGCCCTTTTGGTTTTCGGCGCTCTTTGGTTTTCTGCGCCCCTCTGGTTTTGGGCGCCCTTGGGCTTTCGGCGCGCCTTTGGTGTTTGGCGCTCTTCGGTATTCGAAGCCCTTTTGGTTGTCGGCGAGTCTTTGGGTTTTCGGCGCCCTGTTGGTTTTCGGCGCATCGTTGGTTGTCGGTCGGCGCCCCTTTGGTTTTCGCAAGGTAGCTTCCGGAGCGCGAAAGGGGGGGAGGGGGGGTAGCTTCCGAGGGGCGGGAACAAAGGAGGGGGGGAAGGGCTTCCAGCAGGGGAGGTGCAAGGAGGGGGGCGGGGTCCTCCTCTCGGCGGCGAGCGAGGGGTGGACGTGAGAAGGGGCGGGCCTTCTCAGCAGGCTCGGAAGTCCCCCAGCCTTCTGAGAAGTCTTCTGAGTCTTCCCCGAAGACACAGAAAACCTCTCAGACGGCCAGAGGCCTTCTGAGAAGCCCCGTCGCCTTCTGACACGGCCTTCTCCTGCTCACTTCCCTCGCTCGCCGCCGAGGCAGCAGTGCGACTGTTGTATTCCCGCTCCTTCCCCTCCTCCTGTACATGTCCGATCGCTCCGTGGTCAGGTCCGATGTTGGCTTTCTCTTCTCCCGAGTAGTGGATCGACTATAGAATTGATGTACCCCAGATTTGATTCTAAGCATTATTCGTAGGCTCGACGAGGAAATCAGCTTCGGGGGGAGTCAAATCTGCAGTCGACGCCCTCCTCGATTCTCGCTCGCTCCTCACCTCCCTGGCCCTGTGCAGGCCCTCCTCGGACGAGGCTAGGACGAGGATCGGTCCGTTCCAGCGCGTTCCGGATCGCTCTCAGCGCGTGGCGGAACGCTCTGAGAAGGCCGCGGCGCCCGAGTCATCTTCAGAGCCGCGGGATCATAGAGATGCTCGATTTCTCCCCGCCCGAACTCATCCTCGTCCTGGCCTCGTCTCACCTCCGGGTCCAGTCCCCTCTGGCGTTTCGGGGGCGGCGTCGCTGTCGCGCCTCGGATCTCGACCCTCGGCTGCTCCGCGAGCTGGTGCCTCCCACCCATGCTCGAGGACGGCCCCCGCGTGGGCGTGTCGGAACGATCGCTCGGCGATTCGGGGCCCTCCTCGGAGCCTCTTGGGGCCCTCCAGGGTCCGAGAAAAGTCATGCGGCAAGGTGCGGCGGGGCCCAGGGGGCACACGGGGAGCCGCAGGGGGACCGCAGGAAGCTGTAGACTTGAGAATGTGGGGTCTGGGCCCAGTAAGACTCTTCAGGAGTAAGGGCTGAGGCTCGGAGGATTGGGCAGAGGACCTGAAAACACGCACACTCCTTGCCAAGAGGCACGGTGGCGGATATAGCAATGCATTCGTACAATGACATGTTCAGAAAAGCTCAGGCCTGTTGAAGTTTCTCCCCCCCCCGGGGATTTTGGGCATGGAACGGGGCCGCCCGCGCAATTGTGGACACTGGTAGCTGGGTGATGCTGTGGATTGGATTTGCTGAGCCGTGCATCAGGAGTGCTGGCCTGGAGGGTTTCCCTTCTCGTACTGTACAATTTTATATGCTTTTTTCGACAGGCGCCATTTCTTTGGGATCCGGTGGGCAGGGCTCTGATCTCCGAGTGTCAGTCGCAGTGCCGAAGGCCCTTGAGAGGCCAGCGCGTCCTCTGCAGAGCGAGCAAACCAGTCTGGTTAATTATCAGGATGGGCCAGCCAATAAAGAGCTTCAGTATTGTTACGTCCTCTTCCGGATCTCCCGATTCACCAGCGCCAGAAAGAAGGAGATGCTACGTTTCAAGCAAATTTGGTGTTTCACGATCCGAAGTTTCAGCTTTCGAGTGGGAGGTCGTTATCCAGTATTTCCGAAGCCTAGGGGATCTTTCGAACCAGTCGCAGGGCGCGTGCCAGTGTCTCGTAAGACTAGTCGTGTCAGGTGTTCTTCTGACTTCGCCGAGCAGTTCAAGCACAGGAGAGCGCGTACGCAGTCCAGGTCTCCCATGAGGCCTCGCGAAGTGGGAACGTCTCGCCGTAGGGCTTTATCGGTGCCTGTGAGGAGGGAGCCCGAGGTCAGCAGCGAACCGTCGCCGCAGCAGCCAAGCAACCCTACGGACCGCAGTAACTCCCACATCACCTTCTGGCCTCCTGGCAGAGTGCCGCGACGGCTGATACGAGTGGTTCTGAATTCTCAGACATTCAGTCTCCCCTACGTGCTTTCTGCGAAGTTCGCAATTGGCCCAGGAACAGGAAACGGCACTGTGTGCAGTGGGACGTTCCCTGCTGATTGGATGCCGAAGTGCTACATTCGTGGCGAGCACACTTGGGAAGGCCAGTGGCGCGAGAAGCATATGATTAAGTCCGGAAAAGGATTTACACGACGCGAGTGTTGGATTGAATGGCCGGCTTCCGAGGTTCAGCCCAAATCGATCCGCTGATTCTTTGCCAGGGCCGCCAGGTATTCCAAAGCCTTCCCACCAGAGCCCAAATATTGTAAGCTCCAGGCGGTTGCTAAGAGACGACTTGAACCCTTCGAGTTGCCTCGTTGCAGTGCGCGCAAGCCTACCCTTCCTCGTCGGTGCGGGTCCTTCCCTCTTGTGGCCGTTAGCGGCGAGCGTCGTTCCCACATTTTCACTGCACTCGGCTCCGTATGACGGTTAATTACATTGCAGCGGAGTTGTTTTGTGTTGTTGGGAATCGCGGTTGGCGGCGTGTGTGTGTGTGTGTGTGTGTGTGTGTGTGTGTGTGTGTGTGTGTGTGTGTGTGTGTGTGTGTGTGTGTGTGTGTGTGTGTTTGGGGGGCCATCTTCAACATATGGTTGACTTTGCAATCGGGGCTGTGTTTTGGCGCTGGAGGCGCTCGTCCTCCTGTGCTTGGGTCAGGGGCGGTCTCTCGCAAGCACGTGGAGTTAAGACTACGTGTGTGTTCCGTAATCCCCCCTCTCCGACGAAGGAGGAGGGGGGAGAGGAGGGACTTGCCTTTTATTTCTCCTCCTCCACCTCCTCCTCCTCGGGGTGGGTGGACCAGGAGCTCATGCCGCCGTCTCCTCCTGCCGACCCTGATCGTACCTTGTGGCCGAGCGAGGCCTTTTGCACGGCCTGGTTCCCCATCTTGCAACGGCCCGTGGACCTCCCATGCCGCATCTATGCCGACGGCACCAACAAGACACGTGTGGTGACGTCGGCCAGGAACGCCCAACTCACGCTTGAGCAGTCGCACGTGCACTTGAGCGCCTCACTATCGTCAGATGGATATTCTCACAGTGCTGGGAAAAGCTGTGTGTCTCCCTCCTTCGTCGGACCCATGGCCAACGAGGACAACGCTGCGGTGTTCGGGGGTGGTATCAGGCTTCCTGGGAAGGTGCAGTTTGCCAATATTGCTTTGGGTATTCAGACAGCGGTGAACGGAGGAATGCATGCTTAGTTGCAGCGGCGCATCCAAGCGTGCCGTAGGGCATACTACTCCATGGGACGATTCTGGTCAAAAAATCAAGTATGGCAATTCACTTGCATTGACTCTGGTGCGGTGGTCCAGGGAGCCTTGTTGTCAAGGCTTGTCATTTTCGCCCCTGTCGGAGGCTCAGGAGTTGCGTGTCAACCGTGTGCTCATGTTTTTTTGTGATTATCTGGAAGGAGATGCGTGCACTAAAAAGTGGAGGAGAAGGATGAGGAAGGTAACATCGTCTTAGATAAACAAGGTAAACCTGTCGTTCGATATCGGCAGAGATTACGCGCAAGGCAAAAAAAAGACACGCAAGGCAAAACAAAAAACACCACAGGCAAAAAAAAACGTTTTTGCCTGTGGAG